TATGCTCTTGTGTTTCGTTTTTGACATTTTTCTCTTAAATTTCTGTCTATTTGTTCTTCTTCTTCTTGATCTTCTTTGGATGGCATGTCCTTTTCTTCTAGCTTTATATTTCTTTATTCTTCACCTCCTTTTAATTTTCGTCTTTCTTGTTGATTTTCTCTCTCCACCGTTTAAATTGCATCCATTACATTTTCAATTTCACTCAAGTATATGTCATCTTGAAGTTGGCCTGGCATGGCCAAGTGGCTCGTATCCCCGTCACACCAAACATGCTCGCCCTTTCAGTCGTGGGGGCGTTATAATGTGACGGTCGATCCCATTATTCGTTGGTAAAAGAGTAGCCCAAGAGTTGACGGTGGGTAGTGATGAACTAGCTACCTTCCCTTTAGTCTTACACTGCTAAATTAGAGCCGACTAGCGCAGATAGCCCTCGTGTAGCTTTGCGCGAAATTTAAAAAACAAACAAACGAACGTGGTTTATGACTGTGTGAGAATAACAAACAATACATTGGAGAAACACAACGTCCGTTACAGATAAGATTCCAGACACACAGAAGAAACATTTTAAACTGCGCTAAAAACACATCGACTATAGCTTCTAACGTTTAGGAAAACGACCATATAATAACTTCAAAAATGCAGAAATGATAGAGAAGAAAACATCAAACGGAGAAAAAAAAACCATCAAAGAAGCTGTTCCCATCCAAGCACAAGACAGCGGATCGTCAATGTGTGATCACCGAAACAACGATCAAGAAACACTCAGTACTGTATGGATTTATCAAACATATATATCATAAGCTAAAATATCCGTCAGCTGACGGGAAATGTTTAAACTTAATTGAAAGAATGTAAGTTTAATAGCGAGCATATATTTTATTTTAAAGTAATAACTTGAACATAAACTTTATGTCAAAATTTTAAAATTATAACAAAGCTTCATAAACAATATTTGCAGTTTGCTTTCCGTCTACTGACAAATAAAGATTTTGAGGTGATCCCACCCTTGAACACCCTACATCTTAGTGACCATGAGAAAACCATGGTTGTTTGAAAAACAATCCAGCAACTTTCATACTTTGACCTTGAATCCCTTTAGAATATTCAACATTGTCTAAAGCGCCAACCTGTCCAGATTGTTTGAGATTGACTCAATGGGCTGGGAGTAATTAACCAATAGGCTTTACAAAATAAAAATAGGATTAAGCTGAATTTTGACCCCCCTTAGGACATTCCCCATAGTTCGTAGTGTTTACATATAATTTTTGGTTGAGATTGGCCCAATAGGATTAGAGGAGTTAGGGTGCAAACAAACACAAATTTTGTCTTTATATATACAGATTTGTTGTGGTATCGACGTAAAATTAAACCTTTAAAAATTTATTATTTTGTGCTTTACTCGTGACCAATAATTCTATGATGTATTACTTGAAACCTGAACATTTTATTTTTCTATATAATACCCGTGATTGTACCTTTTTATGTTTATTATTTTCAAATATTTTTCTGATCCTAAATGTTTTTAAACAACCGGGGTTTTGATTCTACAATTTATGTAATAAATTTAAATTACTAAAAAATTATATTTGAAGCCCACGATTTACCACTTTTCACTGATTTGTTTATTTGAAGCACAAAGCTACACGATGGGCTGTCTGTGCTCTTCCCACCACGGGTATCGAAACCCGGATTCTAGCGCTGTAAGTTCGCTGACATACCGCTGTACCACTGGTGGCTTTTGAGACTAAAAGGCCCAGATTTTACAAAAAAAAAAAAAATCAGGATGAATGAGGATGCATGTTCGCTTGTCATCAATGTTCTTCCCTTTTCTTCAGTTTGTTTGTATTTTTGTTAACAAACATAATAATAAAAAATTTTCATTGTGGTAAACGAAATAATAATTGGAACTAAGTAAGTTTTTTTTCTCTTCCGATTCGTAAAAAAATCTTACGTGATAGAAAAAAAATGAATATTATTCTTGAAATCTGCGTTGCTCAATTATGGAAAATCCGTTATTAAAACCAAAATAACTTCTATGAAGGTTAAATTCGCAGGCCTGAAA